GAATTTCAAGCATTAATTCTGTGAGGAAATTATCAACAGTGTCAGTCAGTGGTCTTGAGTGCTGTTAGAGGTAGGAGGGCAGTTATCACTTCCCGGTTGCCCACACCGTGGAAGGGATTTCCTGGAGGTACCTGAAAAGGAAATCGGGTTAGAGGTGGTCTTAGTCACCCGAGAGTGTGATCGCAGTGCCGAAGGGACAACCGCTTGAGGTCGGTCGCACACGACCTTTATGTGGGAAGTTTTTGTGTTAGCTCCGTACTTGTTGGGACCTTACCGCCGGAGACGGATATTCGTGTGATAAGGCGAGGTGTACATTTTTAGGGTTGACCTTTTCTAACACCACTCCTCCTTGTGGGAAGACAGCATCGGTGTTATGCTGATTGTTTGAAGGAAACACCTTACTGCCGTCACACCTCTGTACAGTCAGCAGTACGACTTCTCCTTCGAACCTTGGGTTTGGTGCTTTTAGTCTTACCGCTCTTCAACCGACTTGTCTGGCATGGTAGGACCTTGAGGAACGGTTGTTCCAGCCAGTATAGCTCGATTGGTTCATCACGATAGGCAAACCCGACCACCCCGTCAAGGTAGCAGCAACGGTCGGGTATCAACATTGTATAAACAATGATTACATAATAGTAAGATTATAATACTAAGCTAACTAATGCAATTTGAAATGGTTTGAATTAGCCGGTTGTTTTGTTATGGACATCCTTTAAGGATTGCTTCCATAATTTCCTTATGACAAAAGTTGATAACAGGTGGGTTAGTATAATTATAATGTACTGACGGACTTGAGTTAACCAATCAAAATTTTAAGGTGTAGTAATATAGAACGTTTATAGGAGAGGACAAACCAGCTTCCAGCTGAAGAGGAAATTAAGAAAAGATGTTGGAAGTGGATGCAACATACATTAAGAAAATCACCAATATGCATTATAAGGCAATCCCTAACATGGAATCCGGAAGGGAAACGGAAAAGAGGAAGGCCAAAGGACACATTACACCGGGAAATAGAAGTAGATATGAAAAGGATGAATGTTAACTGGAACGAACTGGAAAGGAAGGCTCAGGACAGAGTTGGATGGAGAATGCTGGTGAGTGGCCTATGCTTCTCGACGAGGGTTAACAGGCGTAAGTAAGTAATAGATAACATGCACGTTATCATTAACCAAATGAAAATTGTCAATATCTGATTATTAAAATGTTTGAAATCAATGGAAACAACTTTTATGCAATCGAAAAGTGAATCTAAAACAGAGCTTAAGCTATATTACATAACATATATGCTCCTAAGGCAGATTGTATGTTAAAACACTTGATGTCATTCATTGCATAATCAAGAGTGTTTAGTGGAGCCAATGAATGTTTTCTCTTTCTTACTCTCACTCTACATCTTAACCTTAAGTTTCTCAATTTTTTAAATGAGAGGATGATAAGACAATGTATTATAGCTGATATCATTTCATGTTGTAAACTTAACTCAAAACTCCAGTTGAACTCTCAATACCTAATATGAACCTTTTAAGCATTATAACTGATGTCATTTGGTGGCGAAAACTGTGTGAGGTGATAAACCTAACTCAAAACATTACCTCCACTCATAACACTTATGTATATATGTAAACTTGCTCTTTATTATAAGGGATAATTTGACACATGAGGGTTAATTATTTCGATTAGAGTTATTATTTCACTGTTATATTATTACTTCATATTGTTAATTGTTTTATAACTTGAAAGTGTTTCCTGATTGGGTGATAATTCGCCCAAAGACATCAGTATATTATACTTTTACTGATGCATTTTGGCTAGAAGTGGAATTTAGGACGCGGGTTCCGTCCTATTTGATACTGGTCATCTGGATGTAGCTGCATCTTATAGTTGATATACACTCCGAAACTCTAACCCAGTTCCGTTCTCTTCAAGTGACATCGTATTATCCAATTATCTACTAAGTCCAGATAGCCACTCACTTATGCAACGGTTATGAGATATAATTCACTTTAAAATGTTTTGTACTACCTTGTCAGTAGTTCAGGGGATAACGCAATGGCATTTGAAATTAATGTTAGTGAGCTCGATTCTCCTCCAATCAAAATTCCATCTATTCTGAATCAGCTAGCATACAGTTTAAAACTAATTAATAATTGAGTAGCAAATGTCAAATGTCAAGTATGTTAAGTCCATCTTAATGCTGACCTAATTGTATCCACCAAGTTACAATGTGGTCACTAGTCTAGATGACTCTATATCGCCTTCATTATGTTGAGATGTAAGATGATGTAAGCCACATCTTCAAAGAGTAATTTTCTAAATAAAAAGACATTCATTTTCTGAAGAATTGGCTTGTACTGAGTGACGAAACATCCAAAAATTTAAAAATTTAGTTTCCCTACTCATCACGATATTACAAATATATTATTTTTATAAGTCGTAATAGCAGTTTAAATTCTTAGTAAGGACAATGGTAAGACATACTTCATTTTGTACTCAAAGTTCCGAATTCCTCTCATGTATAACAAGAGATTCTACAGTCGTTTAAGCAATTGAATGTAAAAAATGTGAATCGATTCCGATGGAATCTGTCAAGATTTTGATGTGGGTTTGTCCTCTAAGTTGGATGGTTTGGTCGTAGAGATTTCATTGTCCTTCTGAACGATATCATCAGTACAATCTTCGGGTAGAAGTGAAGTATTTGAATTTCTCCACATGTGATTCACAGCTTATCCTGTGCTGATGATATCGTTTGGAAGGACGATGAAAGCTTCACAAGCAAATCATCCAGTTCAGAGAACAAAACTCCATCAAAATCGACCACCTGAGCTACAAATCTTCTCCACCATCTCAGAATCTGTAAAGAACATTAAAATCAAAATGCCATTTAGTTCATTGACTCGAGTTGGTTAAATAATAAAGGATAGAAATCCTAACCGCTTCCCTCATATCTTTGTAATACTATACTGGTATATATTCTTGTTTTCGTATTAGAAGTGAACACTGATCTCAACCCATTTACTTTACTCCATAGAAGTACATGAACTGGTGAATGTGTATGTTGGTAGCCGAGTGGGAGAGTTTATTCTATACAGATCTGGAAAATATTTTTCTGTTCGTGAAGATTAATTACAGTTCTGATGTAATAAAACGGTTATTTTGATCTCTGAGGGCAAATGACTCGTTAGTATATCAAGAGTCTAGTCCTCCTTGAATTCTAAATTTATATAAAAATATTAACCTATAGATTCACTTTGTATCGTTTTTTTGTACATTTCCATTGATGTTTAGGACTGAAATTGATCAGTCTCTTACTGGCATATGTTCATACTGTGCGTATTGCCTCGATATAGCCTTAATTCACAAGCATTATAAGCAAAGATGGATAGTGGCTATCAGTGGAATCCGGTTTGACTCGTGTTTCATCCTATTTGGGACTGGGTTCAAGTTCCAAAGTGAACATCAACTCTGAGATGCAGGTACAACCAGCTGACGAGTTTCAAATAAGAAGAAACGCGTGACGAAAAGTCACTTATAGATCAAATAAAATTCTATGAAACATTTTTACAAACAAATCATTCGCGTGAAAAAAAAACACAATATCTGGATCACATAATGTTTGTTTATTTATTCAAAGTTAATGTAAGAAACAATTACTTCTTAATAAACAGAACACGTAAAATCATAAGCAAAGATGGATAATGACTAGCAGTGGAATCCAGGTGCACGTTTCGTCATATTTTGGGACTTGTCAGCTGGATGTACCTGCATCTCAGAGTTGATGTTCATTCTGGAACTCGAACCCAATACCATTCGCTTCAAACGCCATCGCGTTATCCACTCAGCTACTGAGTCCTGATAGTCACTTGCTTGTGCAATGGAGTGAAGTTTAAATTCACTTGGTATTGTTTGTTTAAATCTTCCCCATTGATATTTAGGACTGCAATTGGTCAGTTTCTTATTGGCATATGTGCATAGGACGAAACGCGCGCCAAACTGGATTCCACTGTTATCCACTATCCATCTTTGCTTACTACTTACTTACTTACGCCTGTTACTCCCAATGGAGCATAGGCCGCCGACCAGCATTCTCCAACCCACTCTGTCCTCGGCCTTCTTTTCTAGTTCTACCCACTTGTTGTTCATTCTTCTCATGTCTGTCTCTATTTCTCGGCGTAATGTGTTCATTGGTCTTCCTCTTTCACTTTGATCTTCAGGATTCCATGTGAGGGCTTGTCTTGTGACGCAATTAGCTGATTTCCTCAAGGTGTGCCCAATCCACTTCCAGCGCTTCTTCCTGATTTCTTCCTCCTCTGGAATCTGGTTTGTTATCTCCCACAGTAACTTTTTGCTGATAGTGTTTGGCCAATGGATCCGAATTATCTTGCCTAGACAACTGTTAATAAACACCTGTGTCTTCTGGATGATGGCTTCTGTAGTTTTACACATCTCCGCCCCATACGGTAGAACTGTCTTAACATTTGTATTGAAAATTCTGATCTTCGTGTTGGTTGACAATTGTTTTGAGTTCCAGATGTTTTTCAGTTGTAAATTATGTTGCTCTTGCTTTGCCGATCCTCGCCCTCACATCTGCATCTGATCCACCGTGTTTATCAATGATGCTGATCTTAGCTTATAATGCTTGTGAATTAAGGCAATATCGAGGCATTACACACAATATGGACATATACCAATAAGAGGCTGATCAATTGCAGTCTTAAATATCAATGGGGAAGATTTAAACAAACAATACCAAGTGAATATAAGATCACATAACTTAACTTTTGTCCCTAATTCATTCTTTCTTTTTTATTTTTTAAATAAACTATTATAGCAACTTTGATAACTTCTGATTGGTTAATAATTTCCATTCTCATTTTTAATATAAATCAAATTTGATTGGATCGCATTTCAAATAGAGAAAAATCAATACAACCTACTATTAATACTATTGAGGCAATTCATACGAGAAAAAAAAGGGGGTGGGAGCGGATATATGAGGAAAAGAGTATTCAAAACATACACACACACACCCACACCCACACACATACACACAACAGGATATATAGAGTACATAATTGGATATAATGGGTAGTGGTAGTAATGGTTACGATGGAAAGATGAACATGTACACAATATGGAGAGAGAATACGTATATATACATAATCTAAATCCAAACATTTTAAAGATTTTTACAACTGAACACATTACATAAATCATTAATTTTTTTTTACTTTTCAACAAAGAAAACATGTTTGTTGAGATGGATAGATGTAAAGATTTATTATTATTTATCAAATTGGAAGTAAATTAAATACAACAACAACAACAACTACTACTACTACTACTACTACTAATACTAGTAACATAAGACAAGTAGTGTGTTGGTTACAATCATCATTTTCTCTTTTTTTGGGGGGAAATCATTCTCAAATATTCTTTTGTATTATATTCAAAACTCCCATCCCCCGCTTCCCCTCTTCCCCCCCCAAAAAAGTGAATTCATAAATCAATGGTATCTTATATGTTTATTTATGAGAAATAAAATTACATACAGAAGAATAAATGACTTAGAGTATATATGATATATTTATCCTATTCATCGTATATATTGTATCACATACTGACTCACTTACTTACTTACGCCTGTTACCCCTCAAGGAGGAGCATAGGCCTCCCACCAGCAATTGTATCACATAGATTTATATATTTCATAATTAAATATCTTAACTATTAGAGAATTACTTTTGAAGATATAAAATACTATGGATGTATGTATGCATGTGTGTGTGTGTTTGTATGTTTGTACATGAAGTATAGTGAATTGTAATTGAAGAACAACTGTTTCTTTTATTGTATTCCATTGTGAATATCTTAGCTATTGGATAAAGTTGATTTTGCTAATGTGAAAAGACATTCATACATAGTAGTATATACTACTATTTATTTACCGATCATTGAATTGTGAACGATAAAAAAGAACTAAACAACAACAACACCAACTCATGGATCTGTTACCAACACTTTATCCACATAGATTAATGTATCGAAATAATAATAATCCTAATATGAATAGTATTCATATTCATGAAAATAATAAAACTATGATTGAAAATTCAAATCATAATGATGAAGAGAATGGATTATTATTAACAGAATATCATCATCCTAATGTATATGATGAATTACCTGGACACCTTCATCATCTTCACCATCAACAACAACAACAACAACACCAGCACCATCCCCAACACCACCAACAACAACAACCAAAATTATTTCGTCAATTATCTGCTATTCCTAATCCAATTTATCATTATTTACATTTATTTTATATAAAACGTGTTGAAACAAGACGTATTACCATAGCTAAAACATTACATGAAATTATACAAATAGCTCAAGAGATATTACATGAAGTTGAATTACAAGAACCACGTTTTGTTAGTACATTAAAAGTAATGAATACTAATAATAATTTAGAACAGAAACGAGATGAGAATGATACTGATGATAATCCTTTATATGGTAATATGAATAATACCCCACCCGCTACTACTTCAAATGTAACTAATAGTCTTAATACAACGAATAGTACTACTACCACTAGTACTAATACTACCAGTACTACTACTGATACAACGAATTCCATGAATGGTAGTAGTACTAATAATAATCATTCACACAATGGAGTTTATTATGATGGTCTACGTGTTTTATCATCAAATCATTTTGAAATAACACTATATTTAAATCAAATGGGTGTATTTAATTTTATAGATGATGGTAGTATCCCTGGTGGTGCTGTATTAAAATTATCAGATGGTCGTAAACGTTCAATGTCATTATGGGTTGAATTTATTACAGCATCAGGTTATTTATCAGCTAGAAAAATACGTTCAAGATTTCATAGTTTAATAGGACAAGCAATACAAAAATCAACATATCGTCATATTGTACGTATGTTAGGACAAACAAGTGAAGTTAAACTATGTATACATGATAAGTATATATTACAAATTACACCAGCATTTCGTTGTCATGGTTTATGGCCTAGATCAGCTAATCATTGGCCTATGAATAATCATCATTTATATAATGAATTGAATCCGGAATTACCAATAAAATGGCCATCAAATCAATTAATGAATGAAGTGAAATATGAAGGATTTTGTTTATTAAGTCAAGAGTCAGTATATACAAAAGATAAACAAGCTACAGCTGAAGGTGATGCATGGTTATTAGATTTTTATAATGCAGAAGAACGTTTATTAATGAATCATACAATACGTAGACAATGTTATAGTATATTAAAAACATTAGCTGATCGACATTTAACCGGGGTTCATGGAGAGACTAATTTTAAGAATTCCAAATCGTCGACGACGTCGTCGTCAGCCTCATCAACATCCTCCACACCAATGAATATGATTCATTCAGTAATTCAAGAATATGATATTAAAACACTTGTGCTACATGAATGTGAAAAACATCCAAATGATAATGATTGGACTGAATATACTTTAGGTGATCGTATTAATAGTATATTATTACAATTAATATCTTGTTTACAACATCGTAGATGTCCACATTATTTTTTACCAAATCTGGATATATTTCGTGGATATTCTACTGTAGGAATGGATATTACAGCTAAACAAGCATGGAGATTATTAAGAGAATTATTAACATGTCCACAAGCACTTGAATATCTTTGATTTTTTTTAAAAAAGGCGGGTGGGGGGGCGGCAAGAAAGTTACTTTACTTATTTACGCCTGTTACTCCTCGTCGAGGAGCATAGGCCGCTTACCAGGGCAAGAAAGTAACATGATCAATATTCAACAATTTGTTCAACATCCAGTATCCATGTATGTATGTATAGAAACATATAGTACAAGAAAAGTTGAGAACAATTCTATGTAAGTAAATAATCTTCTTATCACTTTCTATGTACACCTACCTATATACTTTACCATTATTCATATTTTAATGTATAACCTTGAATAGTTATGTATAATAGTGATGAAGCTTTTTGTTTAAACTTACTTACTTACTTACGCCTGTTACTCCCAATGGAGCATAGGCCGTCAACTGGAATTCTCTAACCCACTCTGTCCTGGGCCTTTCAATTTTCGTTCACTTTTCTTCCTCATATCTATCTCCATTTCTCAACGTAACGTGCTCTTTGGTCTTCCTCTTTTCCGTTGATCTTCAAGATTCCTTGTGTTTGTTTACACTGTTTACTTTCATGGTTCAAAATCTTGTTGAATTTTTTCAAATGAATATAAGATTTTTTTCTGTATAGATTGTTCGACTTTTCATTTTATGCATTTTCTGATAATTATCATACTTAGCCTGTCGTATGCCCTGATGGTGTTCTTGTGACTTTCGAGTTGCCTGATCTGCCAAGGGCTATTGGACAGTGCATGGCAGTATTATTGTGTGTTAGGTTCAAAGAGAATTGTTTACTATATGCATGCAAGTTCACCCCGTTATTGTTCCATCGTAATCATAATTAGAGATCATAATATAATTAAAGAATTCGATGTTATTTCTAAAATCTATCATTCATTAATAGCTTCATGCTAATTTAGAATTCACGGAGTCGGTTGAATTCACTTATTGTTGAAGAGATCTAATGAAGATTCTTTTAGTTATTTTTATTTTTCAGGCTATATTCGTCCTAAACATCAATGGGAAGATTCAAATAAACAATACCAAGTGAATTTAAACTACACACTATTGCAAAAGCAAGTGGCTATCAGGACTCGGTAGTTGAGTGGATAACGGGATGGCATTTGAAGCGAACGGTACTGGGTTCGAGCCCCAGAGTGAGCGTCAACTCCAAGATGCAAGTATGTCCAGCTGACGAGTCGAAAATAGGACGAAACGTGCATCAAACTGGATTCCACTGCTAACCACTATCCATCTCTGCTTACAACAACACACAGCTATGTAGAATAATAGTTTATTCATTAAATATACACTTTTTCATATTTCTATTTCTTCACTCTCTATTTCTTTTTCTTTGACCTTCTTTTTTTTCTCATTATAATCTTAACTTTATCAAAATAAACAAAAACTGATTATCACATGGACCAAAGAAAAAAAACTACAAATAGATCGTTTATTGTTGTCTTTTGAAAATCAAATGATTTATCAGTAGAATGCAGGACTTATTCGGGATCCGTCAGCTGGATGTACCTGCATCTCAGAGTTGAAGTTTACTCTGGGACTCGAACCCAGTACCGTTCGCTTCAAACGTCATCGCGTTATCCACTCAAACACTGAGTTCTGATAGCCATTTCCTTGTGCAATGGGGTGAAGTTTAAATTCACTTAGTATCATTTGTTTGAATCTTCCAATTGATGTTTAGGGCGAATATAACCTGAAAAATAAAAACAACTAAAAGAATCTTCATGAGATCTCTTAAACAAAAAATAGCGATATAATTTTTATCGTGCGCGATCGTTTAACCTCTAGACCACTGGTTTCGAATCTCGCGGGGCGGGATCATGAATGCGCACTGCAGAAGAGTCCCACAATAGGACGAAACAGCCGTCCAGTGCTTCCAGGTTTTCGAAGGTGGTCTAGCTTCAATTGACTCATGATCTCAACTATTGAAAATCATAATAATCAAAATAGTACGGGTACAAAGTGTATGAGTAAACATAGTTAACATAGATGTGTATTTGTATGTTGGAAAATTATAATGTAGAGTAGAACCGGTGATATTATAGTTACTATGATTTATAATCAAGGTTAAAGAGATTATGTAAGGGTAGTGAAATTTATAAATGATTATGTAAAATGCTCAACATAAAAAAATAAACAAATATGTGTACAATAAGATTACATAAGAGCTTAGTATCAGAAGACGAAAAAAAAGCAAGACCGAGGGTATTGAGTTCGAATCCTACGTGCGGGATCTTGAATGTGCACTGCTGAGAAGTCTCATACTAGGACAAAACGGCCGTTCAGCTTTTCAGTGGTGGTGTAATAGACTGATGAATTCATTTTATTCTGAAAACTTAATTCAATTTGCTTTATTCAAAGTTATCAATGAATCTAATTGTACGAAATACTGGAATATGTTACTGTATTCGTATTGAAAGTATGCAGTAACTGTGTTCTTATAAACCTTTTCCACAGAAGCAAATGAACTTGTGAATGTATGTAGAGGATGTGAAACAAAGGAGTTTATCATTTACGGATATGGAAAATGGTTCCCAGCTCATGAAAGTTAATTGTAATTCTACTGTAATAAAAAAGATTTTTTAATTGATACATATAAACAGTCATTAAGTCGTATTGGAAGACTCTTTATAGTTAACTTCCAGTTTCATACGTATAAATACTTTTTAAGAATAAAGGAGAGCGTAGCACAGACTGAAGAAAAGAAGAAAGTGGTACAGCAAGCGGGACCACGGCAAGAATGACTACTTTAAAGGGGGGGGGCGAGTCTGGTGTGTGCTACTGATGTCGATATATATGAGTAGCACGTATCATCAATCGAAAGTGAAATGTCTGATAGCAGAAGGTTAAGAAAATCAAAGAAAAGAGAATGATTAGTGTGGAGACGAAGGAACAATGAAGTCTGATGTGATTGATTGATACTTTGCAAATGAAGTATTTACTGTCTGGTTCTCAGATTTTACTAAGAGATTCCGTAATTTTGTATTCAAATACATTCGATTGTCCTCACTTGTGTCCTTGTTCACTACAGAATCTTTATTTTCGACAAATTTTCATTTTTTTTTTCCATAGACAAAGTAGCATCAGTATCTGTCTTCAATTAACTTTATCCACAGAAATCTTTAAAATTATCTCTCATATCGCCATGATTTTTGCGCAGTGATTTATGTTTGGCTTGATTTGAATCCATTATTAATGCTTTTACTATGTATTAAGTATTTTTCAGTAGATAAGATTATTATTCAATTGAAGCTAGACCACAAGAGAAAACCTGGAAGCACTGGATGACCGTTTCATCCTATTGTGGGACTCCTCAACAGTGCTCTCAATTTCGTTGATTGGTTAAAGTTAGACATTAACACCGTTGGATGCTGATTCATTGGTCTAGAGGTCAAGCGTTCGCGCGCGCGAGACCAATAAGTTCTGGGTTCAAATCTCGCTAGGTGGGATCGTGGATGCTCACTGCTGATGAGTCCCATAATAGGGTGAAACGGCCGTTCAGTGCTTCCAGGTTTTCTCTGGTGGTCTAGTTTCAATTGACTTATGATCTCAACTATTAAAATTACTACAATATCCACAAAACCCCTTCTGATATTAAGTTAAACATGTAATAAATCTTACTACAACAATGTCAATACTGTGAAGCATAAAATACAAGTTCCATGTACATTCAGATGGGATATTATCTTAGAGTATAATGTAATTACTTGAATGTACACTGCATTATATATCAAACTTGTAAGCATATAGTTGTATTTAATAAGTAGTCTATAAAAAAAAACGCTAAAAAACTTGAATGTACCTACAAGATAATGAATATTTTGAAATGATAGATTTCATATCGCTACAGTGGAGTGCACATTAGATAGTTTATTTACGAATGGTACATAATCAGACCATATTCTATTAAAAGAGGAATGTGATAGAATAGGATAAGGATGCAATATAATAAACAAGACAACAGGTGAGGACAACCAAATGTATTTGAATACAAAAATTACATAACATCTTAGTGAAATCTGAGAACGATACAGTAAATAGTTCATTTGCAAAATATCAATCAATCGTCTCAGAAATCATTGTTCCTTCATTTCCACATCAATCATTCTTTGTTCATATTCTTTTATTCTTTGATTTTCTTAACCTTCTGCTTTCAGACATATCATTTTCAATAATGATGATACATACTACTTATATCTATCAACATCAGTAGTATACACCAAAATAAGATTGTGTATTGATTTCCTAAATGTAATTTTATTTACATTAATTAATTCATAATGATTTTACATCCAACTGATATGTGCTTAATTTAATAAAATTTCATAATCAGTAATCAATGATTTCAATCCGAACATAATTGAATTAACTTTAATCTAATTGAATACTCCTTTATGGTCTTTTTCCAAAAATTCTTCCTTCTAGATTGAATAGAAAAAGGAATCTGTTGCATGCTGATTTAAAATATCATTAATATTATAACTGATACCTTCGAATCATATAAGTACAATTTGATATTTCGCAAAACATTAATTAGTACCCTGTTATAATTTGTGTGTCAACACCCGAACTAAGGATAGGGAGTGATGTAGTCGAACGCATCGACAACTTCACTTATCTTGGAAGTCTGATCAGACCTAATGGGTTGGTGTCTGACGAAATCTCAACACGGATTTAAAAAGCTCGTTTGGCTTTTGCCAACTTACGTCACCTATGGCGAAGACGAGATATCCGTCTATCAATTAAGGGACGAGTATACTGCGCAGCAGTTCGCTGTGTTCTACTTTACGGCTGTGAAACATGGCCATTAAGAGTGGAAGATACACGTAAGTTACTAGTATTTGACCACAGATGCCTTAGAAATATTGCTCGCATTTGCTGGGATAATGGGATAGGTTAGATATAGGGTATTAGGGAATGATGGTAAATCAGTTGATGAGGTGATGAATCTTCATCGACTGAGATGGTTGGGTCATGTGTTACGTATGCCTGAACATCGATTACCACGACGCGCAATGCTGACTAGTGTTGGGGATGGTTGCAAGAGAGTTAGGGGCGGCCAAACCAAAACATGACATCAGTGCTTGAAGTCACTAACTTTTAGTCTGAGCCATGTTGGTCCGCGTGACTATCGTAACCAATGGTTGGAGACTCTGTGTGACATGGCTCAGAATCGATCACAATGGCGTAGATGTATACACTCTTTATCTTCCCTTAAACCTTGAGACTAAAATTGCTTCATATCTCTCTTCCTTCCTGTACTATATCCTTATATACAACCTATAATTTATATACTACTACCAACACTAAATTAACTACTATGAATCCGGTGTTCATCTTGTTGTGCTAACGAGGTATGGCAACTTGGACCGATGCATATATGTGCCTGGTCCTATGTTGTAGCTGACTGACTGACTGACTGTTATAACTTGTGGCCGCCAAATGGATGCCGTGGTAATATATGACGGAATAAGATCGCCAATTAGAGAGCAGCGAATTATCGATCGGACTAATGACACACAGAAACCGTACGAGCAGTCTAGAGCACTTGTCAGTCCGGCTTTCCTCTAGCCCAGCCATTCAAGTTCCGAACAGCCTTTGTGGTATG